CAGGCATGGCTGAAGGAAACAGGGCGGTCCAGTGGGGGGCTCTGAGCAGGCTGTGGAACACGGTGGAAGACGGAACCATCTGACAATGAGTGGAGATCAGCTTGGAGACTTACAGTACTGTGGTGATGAGGGAACTGAAGACAGCTGTACCTGCTCCAAGACCACACCCAACAGGAGCCATGCCTGAAACTAAAAACACAAAACCACATGGGGGAGCCAAACCCTAACAACACAGCCATTTAACATAAAAAACAAGAACAACAAAACTGTTTGCTAACTTCATCTATGGTCTGAGCAGACCCCGCGGACCTAGATCCGGCCACGTTTGCGGTGACTTGTGCCAACTAACCAGGACTGAGAACGGAAATGTGCAGTCAAGTTTATTTTTTATAAATATTATATTATACATTATTATGTATCAATATTGAGAATGCAATATTGAGGGGGAGGGATGGCAGCTTTAACTTATTTAGTATAATATAATAACAGAATTTAAATTGGTGACAAAAAAACAACAATGTTCAATGCTTTACTCATGATCAATGATTTAAATGTTGGGTTCATATAATGACTTCTCTGTATTATCTGCTCTCTGTAGATAATCAGATCACCCTGGATCACTGGGAGAACAGAGATTTGATGTGTCCTTTTATCAATCCAGCAGTGCTTTATCTCTGGCAGCTCTTTCCACTGCTGTTTAATCTGGGAATTCTGTGTTATCGCGTTCATAGCTTTTATCTCAGTTATGAATATACTTTCATTGTAACAATGACGGTGCAGAAACAGCTCAGAGCTCACTGCCGCTCACTCCTTTGAGCAGTGGGGCAATGTCGTGACTGCATTTGGACGCAAGGGGGCGCAAGTCCCCCGTGTGGCTGGAATTCAATTTTTTTTACTTTATTTACAATGCTCTTTGTTTTTGGAAATTCACCAGTTCTAGATTCAAAGATTTTCTTCAAATTACCTAAATCTATTATCTAAAATTCACAACAAAAGATGATATAAGTTTTTATACTGCTTTTCCATCTTCACTATTCATTTCCAAAATTTCCAACTTAGTTATCCTCTTATGTTTGTATGATGCTCATTGTTTGTAGTTGGTCTGTTTTTAGGATCAACATAAAAGCAGTTGGTTACAAAACAAGGAGGGTCACAAAAGAAACAATTACTGTTACTGTCATATAGCGTTATTTCATTTGGAAGTAAAATAACAAGAATAAAGATGGTAATACTCCACTCCCAGCTCTGTGTGGAGTGAGAGGACAATGTCCAAAATTGTAAACCGCTTTGTGACTCTGGTCTGTGAAAGGTGGTATATAAATAAAGAGTACTTACTTACTTACTTAATACAGTATATTACTATATTTAGAAAAAAAAGTAACTCCAGCTACATACAAGTGGTTTGCACATCTTATCCAAAAATCTGAATTTGTAAGATAAGATGTGCTTTATTTATCTCACAGAGGAGAAATTTACATGTCACATTTGGCATGGATAGAGACACTCAGATTGTGCAAAAGGAGGAAATGTGCAAACATGTTACATGCAGGATATATGTACAATAAAAGTGACAATAATTATGTGCAATAAAAGTGACAAGTGTCAATTGGAAACAGTGTCAATAGTAGTGCAGGTTTTCACACAGTGATCATTTAAAGTGACTTATTGTACAGTCTGACAGCGGTGGGGATAAAGGCCCTGCGGTAGCGCTCCTTCCCACACTGAGGGTGCCTCAGTCTTCCACTGAAGGAGCTCCTCAGCTCCTCTACAGTCCTGTGCAGTGGGTGGGAGGTATTGTTCATGATGGAGGTGACTTTGGCTAGCACCCTCCTGTCCCTCACCTCCTCCACAGAGTCCAGGGAGCAGCCCAGAGTGGAGCTGGCCCTCCTGACCAGCTTGTTCAATCTGTTTCTGCCCGGGGCCCAGCACACGGCAGCGTAGTAAATGGCAGAAGCTACCACAGAGTCACATAGTAACCTAGGAGACCTGGCTGCACCAGCCACCTTTCATTTAGGGACGAATGAAAGAAATAGGAACTGGTAGGGGGCCGAGAGAATAAAAGGGATTTCCTTTTTTTTTTTTTTTTATATATAATAGTTTTTTTTTTTTTTTTTTTACATTACTAAGGTATTTTGACATTACTCTCACTTTCTGATGGATTTTCTCTGAAAACAAATGCGCTATGTTTATTGTTTAGAATTAATACATTTAAACACAATAACTTTTAACTTCTAATAATGTGTTGGGTTAAAAGTTTGGACTACGTTAAGTTTGACTGTTTTCCTTATCCATGCTTTATTCTTGTGTAGCCCTGAATCACAATAGTATTTCAGAGGACTCAACAAAACTGTTGAAAAGGCCAACACAGATCAGAGAATCAAACAGTTCAAACACACAAATATATACAACACATAGATGTTCTTGGTCCATAGGGAGTTGACCCATTTTCCATAAATGTTTATTCTTTTTGCTAGACCCACTATAACAGCCTAACAGACCCTCGTGTATCGGCAAAGAAAAACTCTAAAATCCAGTGTGAGAAAATTGAGAAACCTCGGGGAGGTCCACATTGATAAAGGGATCCGCCCCACACGGACCAAGGCCTTGCAGCAGTTGTAGAACAAGGACAGGTGCGGCGCAGGACTGAAGCAGCTCCCAAGGCGAGTCGGCTCAAGACAAACTTGACGTTGGAAAATTATTTAGTAAGACACCAACACATAGTTTTTTACCGGAAATGACTTTTGGGAAAAATGCTGTGAGTTGTTGATCATGTTCAGCGCATCAAAGTAAAGATCAAAAAGCAGTTTAAAAAAACAAAATTAAGCAATTGCAGACGGACGCAGCGCATTCTCTGTGACACCGACGCGCCTGCCAATCACCTTGAACATCTTGCGTTCCTTGTTGGGAAAGCCGGCCCCACCTGGACTAATAATGCAATGGTTTTACAGAGTGTATTTCTGGACAGTAAAAAAATAACATGGGATTATACTCACTCCATTATGTGGTGAATCACTGCAGTAGTCACAGCTGCCCTTGTATGATGGTATTAAGGCCACTAATCTGTGCCATCGGCCCATCCAACAACCACCACCATTCACACATACACCAGACTCATAGAAAGTGTGGGTGAAGTTTCTCTATCTTATTCATGCATCGGTTATTTAGCTCTTTATTGGACACTCAAAGATGCTTTACATGTCATTATTCTTTCACTCGATCATGGTAAACTACTACTGTAGCCACAGATGCCCTGGGGCACACTGACAGAAGCGAGACAACCAGTGTGTGGAATTGACCCCTCCAACCACCACCAACCATTCACACACACACCAGGCTCCTATAGGTAATCTGGGTCGACAGTACTATAACCAGCCCTATCCTGCTTAGCTTCAAATGTTTGCGATTTTGATCCCTATTGGTCAAACAGCCGAGGTTGGTTCATTAAAAGTGGCAAGTGTACATTTGAGAGGTATTACTTTTTTTGACTCGTATGTTTGACCGATCACTATTCTGTTGCTAACTTTTGAAACTACTCGTGTTTGGATAATTTGAAGCAATTTCAGCCAAATTTATGAAACGGCCGAGGTTGGTTTGTTTTGTGAATACGTTTTTTCCTCCCTATGTTTAACTTTGGCTCACTCTGTAGGAGAAAGATCATTCACTACCTAAAGCTTGAGGGAATCAATGAAAAAAACTACTTTGCATGGGTATGAAGACCTTTAAAGTGGGTTTATTCACATATGAAGTCCATAATCCATAATTAGGTTTACAATTTTCAATCAGATTATCGAATCAAAGAGCTGTGTCTATCATTTGTGTTGCCAGTTTGTTCAAATACAAAGTCCATAAACTCTGCTACAATAGCCTGACTCTACCACAATGAAACACATATTAGCCACATCAATATAAGCCGCAGGGTGAAAAAAAAAAAGAAAAAGATATATATACATATATATATAGCAGAGTCCCATCTGTGTTCATAAAACAGAGTGACAGTTGTGTGTGTAGTTGTGAACAGTGTAGTGTGTATGTGTGTGTGTGTCTACAAACACTATTGTTAGGAGTGAATTTGGAAATGGATCCAACTGTAAAGCGCTGTATGACTGTCGGTGAAGGTACTGTATAGATTAAAATGAAATCCAATATTAAATAAATCAAATACTATGTGGGTGGCACTCTCACTTCTCTGGAAGAAAGTCCTGGGTTCAAATCCCGGTCAGAACAGGGCCTTTCTGAGTGTTTTGCCTGTTCTCCCCGTGTCTGCGTAGGTTTCCTCTGGGTACTCCGGTTTCCCCTACCACTAAAAATATGTACAATAGGTCTGGCATGTGCCTCCTGTACTGGCGACCCCGCTCCCATCTCTGTGTGGAGTGAGAGGACAAAATGCCCACAATTGTAGACCGCTTTCTGACTCTGGTCTGTGAAAGGCGGTATATAAATAAAGACTACTTACTTACTATGTTATTATTAAATTAATGTATTAATGCATTTTATCTTGATAGAGTAAATATTCTCAAGATCAAGGGCAAAATTGAATACAGATATTGCATCTTGTTATTTAAAGGGGAACTACTGTATTATTGACTACATTTGACTATTTCTTAAAAGTCAATTGTTTCCTGTTGTATGTGTTTTTTAACCTGTTTTTGTTTTTGTTTGATATGTACTTGTCTTATGCACACTTGGGACCTTTGCGGAAGTATTCCAATGTGGTTTTACTGCAAATGGCAAATAAATGAATCTAAATCTGAATCTAATGAAAATCACAAACCCTTTGTTATAAATATTTCCCAATCATCCGTGCACTGGCCCGGCAGCACCATCGATCCATGGGCAGTGTCCCCTCCTCTGTAAGTGCGCGCGAAGCCTGCTGGGAAACCGAGTCTTCGCGTTGGAAACAAAGGCACCCGTCCGTGCTGCGCCCCCGGGGAACCCACCACAGCCTCTGCACAACACTGCTGGGCCCAGGATGCACGCTCTCCCGGAAACTCTCCCCGTGAATGCACGAGGAGACCCGGCCCCGGCGTGGACCATGGCCTGACGCGAGACACAACCACTTTACCCAGCGCTTCAAGCACAAGAGGAGGCGCTCATGGCAGAGGTACGCTGCGTGTTAGCTGCAAACTACGGCAGGGATGCTATGACAGGGTCTATTGGCGCTTATGGACACGCACACCTCTCGCCTCTCGCCGTGGCTGCTGCAGCTACAGTAATATCGGCCTGTTACTTTGCATTCCATTGTACTCAGATGTTTTGGCGAATTGGCCATCCATGCACAACAATGGATGCAGATAGAAGATTTGCTCTGTGTGTATCTGAACCGGGGGCCGAACACAGATTTTGTTGCATGGATGACAGCATTACGAGTCTATGGTTTTAAATCGACGCAGTGTTTGTGTTTAACACCATAACGATACATGCTTGAACACAGTTGAGACAGAATTGCGTGCGTCTTCCATTGGTTTGTATAGAATTCGCCTCGGGATGAGACTGTTGCATCTTCACGGTGACAAGATACGCATATTTCAAAATAAAACGCGTCTGCTTAATAATCAAGCCAATTTGACTACACTACACAACTATAGAAGCCAGACGAATGCATATGAAAATGTATCTTTGATCATTGAGCCTCTTTGTTTGTATACTATGTATTTAGAAAGTAATAGTCGTATATGTTTCAATGCATATGACTTAGACTACTCTGACATCACATAATATTGATAGTCAGTTATTCAATGTATTTTCAATAAGTCTTTTTCAACAAAATATAGCTTAAGATTAATTTAATGTGTGTGTTTGTTGTTTCATAAAATTTTGTGTTAATTTATTGAAACAAAATATTTAGAAAATTAATAATTTTTGGTTATACGAATTACATTTTCTTCTTGAACAGACAATGAGACTGCAAACAGCAAGCAAATTCCAATTTAGCTTGGTGTAGTGGGACAGACTAATCACATCAATGTGAAGTTGTTGTTATTTCTTTCATTTTTTCTCATCCAACGTGAGAAAGAGCTTGATTTTATGTCATGTGCGGCTGTCATTGTATAGGCTCATGTCATAGTCATGCCTGTGTAGAACTCCAAGGGTTTTCACACAAGACGTATTGTTCATTCCTTTGTGTTAAGATTGTGCAAGCTCTCAGTCGTACAGGGATTATTCAAAACAAAGGAAGGTTGCTCACCCATCATGTGTTCTTCAGTGAGCAGGTTTCCGTCTATGTTATAAACTGATTTTATAAACTGAAAGTCATCTCCGGATGTAGCTGTTGTGTGGGGCTGTAGTGGTGCGTACGCTCCAGTGCGCGTCTGCTCCAGTTGCGCGAGTTCACAGAGCTGCGTCGCGATGTCGGAATAAAACATTCTTTTTCTTCTTTTTATTTTATACTGTGTTGTGCTTCTGTGAATGTGACAGCTGCACTTCAGTCCGTGGGACAAGAGCGGATGGACGGTCGGTCCACAAACCAACACGTTATAATTGGAATATATGTGTATAGATGGGAGAATATGATCTTTGCATTGATACATCTATAGCCAGGCTTAAAACGTCGATGTAGCTACTCATGACAAGCAGAGGTGGCAAGTAACAACGTTTTTTTTTTATAAATGATTATTACTAAGTTACAGTTTTTTTATTTTATTTCCTTTACTTTGATAATTTTGGCTCATACTCCTCAGTTTTAAAGCTGTTGTTCTGCTCCTCCATTTCAGAAATGGGCTTTTTACTTTAGATGTGATGACACAAGTGTGTCCAATCAAAATGAATTCATTGTGGTTAACCATGCTTCTAATTTCATTCATTCATTGTCATTAGCCATGCTTCTAAGTTCATTAAGGCATTGTAATTAGCGGTGCTTCTAGTTGTTTCATTCATTGGGAAATGTGTTTGTTGTGGTTTGCTGTGCTTATAATAATAAGTTCATTATTTCACTGTAGTTATCCCTGCTTCTAAGGTTTGATTGATTGTTTGTTTCTTATTCAATGTATTTGTCACTTGTAGTTTTTACAGTTCTTTATCATACTTTCTGTTATGTTTGTCTCTTACATAACTATAAGAAGAACATGCAGAAACTCCGGTAACGTTAGGAACGTCTTTTCTTAACTGGTGCCATTACAAGTACCAGATATCAGTACGCTACCCACGTACTCATTGCATGCATATGCTCGAGATAAAGTAGTCCCTACTGTTGTAATCAATACATAACAATTCCTCCCTTCCAGCTTTTATGATTTTTTTCAAAAATCTAAAGTAAGATATATGGTTACTTGAATAACAACTTCAATAACAATTTAAATAAAAAAATTCTATTATAACAAATGTGCATTTTAACAATGCATTAAAAAAACATGTTTTTGTTTTGTTACAATACTTAGTTTATGAACCAAGTCTGTCAGGAGGTTTGCGGTGCTTCTCAGGGAATCTGCGTCCAGGAGGATTTGTAATTTGTAATTTTGTAATTTTCTTTATTTAGAGAAACAGGGACAGTGTACAATAAACATTAACCCCAAGGGGAGAGATGCATTGTACCAAGTTATAGCTCAAGAGCTAATTTCCACCCGTAGTCCCTGGGCAGGCTGGTGTTATAGTAAAAAACATAAAAACATCATGCACACATGGATAATGGCATTTACATTGATCAAGTTCATAATAGTAAAAGCAAATCTTCACATGCACAACAATCAGATACAAACTCTTATACACACCTTTCATTTACTCAGGTCTACTCTTTTAGACCTCAGAACACACATACAGACATACATCCAGTTACATGTGGATGCAAGATTGATTTGACAGGAGCCATTTCTTTGCCAGGCGTGAGAATGTGTAAAAGTTTGTGCTTGTTATCAGCTCTGTAGGCAGCATATTCCACTGACGAGCGGCCACACAAGAAAAAGCAGAGTTTCCAAATGCTGTCTTTCGCTTTGGTATCCTACATTCGCCTCGCACTGTAGATCTAGTGGCTCGAGTTGTTGTTTCAGAGCCCAAAGAGATGAACGTTTTTAGTGGAGGAGCAGCGGTGTCATGGAGGATCTTACATCAGACACAGATTGTTATGATTTATCAAATTTTCAAAGCTAAGTAATTTGTATTTTACAAGGATATGACAGTGATGGAATCGTCTGCCTTTTTTATCATGTATCTTTAGAGACGTTTTATATAATGACTCAAGTGGCCTGAGGGCAGATTTACAAGCCTGTGACCAACTTGTCATACAATAAAGAAAATGTGGAACAATCATTGCATTTAGATAGGCTCCTGAGGCCTCGATTGTAAGGGAATTTCGAATGTATCTGAACTGTGCCATATTAAATTTTATTGTATTTGATAAATTTTTTATGTGCTTTTTAAAGCCTAAATTTGGTTCCAATATGACACCTAAATATTTTTAGGTGTCATAGACAGGTTTGTTACAGGTCTGGGACAGTCAATAGTTTCTGGTGTGGAGTTGGTTTCCACTGTCATGTCCGGTGTTGGTGTACTGTCCTTTTGACTTGGGACAGGTGGTGTCACTGATGGGTTTGCGTCGTTTCCAGGTGAAGCATCCAAAAGTTGATCGACATGTCTGCGGCAGACGACATTAGGTTCCACGCCTAGTCGCCTATTGAGTAAGAGAGTGGTCCAGTTTGTGACAAAACATTGTAGGTGATAGTCCATTTGTTGTGTGTGGCGTGTTTCGGTATGCCAGTATAAAGTTGGCCATTTTCTGCTGCAGCGGCACTTCCTCTTTCCTACTTGCTTTTATGGACTGTTTAAAAGTCTGTAAGAAACGCTCAGCGAGTCCATTGGTTGCTGGATGGTGCTGGATAGTGAGGAGCAGAAGTGATGTGTTTTATTCCATTGTTTTTCAGGAACATTTGAAACTCTTCACTGGTAAACTGTGTTTCATTATCGCTGACCAGTTGACCAGTGCGTGCAAAAAGCATTTGCAGTTGGGCCACTGTTGTAGTTGTAGTTGCCTTGTAAAAACTTCAAGCCATTTTGAGTGTGCATCAACCACAATAAGGAACATGTGTTCCATAAAGCGTCCAGCGTAGTCCAATGGAGCTGTTGGCCATTACCAAGTGAGACCAGGAGCAAGCTGAGGTTGTTGCTGGGTTTGTTGGCAACCTGTGCATGTTTTCACAAGAGTCTCTATTTGGTTGTCAAGGCCAGGCCACCACACATAACTTCTTGCAAGGCTTTTCATTTTAACAACCCCCGTGTGTCCATCATGCAGTAAGCTAAGCCCTTTTGAGCGCAGTTTGGGTGGTACAATGACACGTGAACCCGTGCCAGCAGCGGGCTGTTTACCTTGTACACAGCAATATCCACCGCACGTCGTAAGGTGAGCCTGTTTTCTGTTAAGAGGCGTTTTTGCACACTCTCGTTATGCAGACCACAGATGAACCGGTCTCTCAGTGCTTTCAGATAGTCCTTCTTCGAAGTGACAATGTTCCGCCGGTCTCCGCAGTTCTGCGATGTACTCTGACACCGTCTCAATCTTTGCTTGGTTTCTCTTATGGAATCTGAAGCGCTCCGCGATCACTTGCGGCGCTGGATTCAAATGATTTTTGAGGGTTCTTGTAATCTCATCAATAGTTTTGTCTGTGGGTTTGGCTGGTACGATGAGGCTGCAGAGGAGGTTATACGTCTTCGCTCCCATGAGACTCAGAAGAACCGCGACTTTCCTCTCATCCTCTGTCCCGTGTCCCCCAGAACCAGGGACTCACGGACAGAACCATGGACTTGTGGACAGAACCATGGACTCGTGGACAGAACCATGGACTTGTGGACAGAACCATGGACTCGTGGACAGAACCATGGACTTGTGTTTTTTCCACAGTTAGAGCCACTTTATTCCCAATCTCTTGTTAACTCTTTGTATTGAGAAAATTCAAGCCTAATGTCAAGGCCTGGATTTAAGCACTTTGATGAGGACAACTTTAAATTGTGAATATAGGTACAGAGTATAGATTTTTACATTTTCTCCTGGTGGTGTGCCGCGGGATTTTTTTCAAGGAAAAAAGTGTGCCTTGGCTCAAAAAAGGTTGAAAAACACTGCTTTAATGATTTGGCTTCTTAACCCCTCCACACATTTATCCAGAGACCAAAGAGCAGCAG